TATCTATCTATCTATCTATCTATCTATCTATCTATCTATCTATCTATCTATCTCATATAATACGTTTTGTATTTTATGTATTTACAGAGAATTAGGAAAGTGTTATATCTATATCAGTATATGTATTAATATATCTATATCTATATCACACATACACGCGCGCGCACACACACACACACACCCCCACACACACACTATCTATCTATCTAAATACATAATATAAATAATATAACACTATATATATATATATACATACACACCCACACACATACACTATCTATCTATCTAAATACATAATATAAATAATATAACACTATATATATATATACATACACACACACACACACACACACACACACTATCTATCTATCTAAATACATAATATAATTAATATAAGTATTTACAGAGAATTAGGAAAGTGTTATATCTATATCAGTATATGTATTAATATATCTATATCTATATCACACATACACGCGCGCACACACACACACACACACACACCCCCCACACACACACTATCTATCTAAATACATAATATAAATAATATAACACTATATATATATATATATATATATATACATACATAAACACACATACACACACACACACACACACACTATCTATCTATCTAAATACATAATAGAAATAATATAACACTATATATATATATATATATATATATACATACATAAACACACATACACACACACACACACACACACTATCTATCTATCTAAATACATAATAGAAATAATATAACACTATATATATATATATATATATATATACATACATAAACACACATACACACACACACACACACACACTATCTATCTATCTAAATACATAATAGAAATAATATAACACTATATATATATATATATATATATATACATACATAAACACACATACACACACACACACACACACACTATCTATCTATCTAAATACATAATAGAAATAATATAACACTATATATATATATACATACACACCCACACACACACACTATCTATCTATCTAAATACATAATAGAAATAATATAACACTATATATATATATATACATACATAAACACACATACACACACACACACACACACACACACGCAGGTGTGTTTTTATGGTTTATGGGGACTCTCCATAGGCGTAATGGTTTTTATACTGTACAAACCATATTTTCTATTGCCCTACACCAACCCTACCCCTAAACCTACCCCTTACAGGAAACTTTCTGCATTTTTAGATTTTCAAAAAAACTCATTCTGAATTATTTTTAAGCCTTTTGAATTACGGGGACACTGAAAATGTCCTCATAAATCACCTTCTCGTTGTAATACCTATGTCATACCCATGTTATTATACAAATTTGTGTCCTCATAAACCACATAAACATGCACACACACACACACACACACACATACATACACATTACACTTTACATACACATACATACATATTATTGATTGTGTTATTATTTTAATACACAACAATTACCTTTTTATTGTAATATGTTATATATCAGGTAAGGCAACGCTTTAATGCATCGCACCCTAACAGGTAATATTAGTGATATTGGAGGGACAGAGAGAAGAGAGAGATGCTATTTTAGTTTGTTCTATTGCAAGGACGAACAGCGTCTTTTTCAAGCGAAACCTCAGGCTTGAGTCAAATTGCCCATTTGGGCCACAGGTGGCCAACCTTGATTCCATTAAAGGACAGGAAAGAGGAGACACTGTTTTCAGTTGTATGTATAGAGAGAGCTCATTCAGGAGAGACGACAAATGAAATGAAGCACAGGGATGCAAGCTGTCCTCAAATTCACCCGAGGCCAATTCTTATTGACTTCCTGCTTCTTCCTTTTCATCTAGTTCAAGATTTCTATTGGTCCTTGTGCAGCACTTATTTTGTGGCGCTCGCAATGGCAAGAGTTACTACAACTACTACTAAGTTTTTAGTATGCAACTTAGTGTCTTGAATGGGGACCTGGGGAATATTTGGGAATCAGAACATAATTAATAGCATTTTCAAATGAATTGGCAAACAACCAGCTATCAAAACACCAATAACAACTTAAAAAAAAAACACATAGCAATGACCTAGAAACGACCCACAATGTGGTTGTTACTTTTGCACAGGGAAGCACCACTCACATTTTAATCAGAAAATAGATTTTTTTGTTCAGCTTTAAATGATGTTGTTCAAAATTTCAGAATTGGATCACATCTGACTTCATTTTGGGCCAGAGGAGCAGCCAGCCAAAATTTAGCTCTAACTTCCGTTTTATCACTTTGGGTGAAAGCTCTCAGACTGTCAGAAGGGCTTCGTCTGCGTTCCGCTGTGCAAGTTTTTAGAGCAGCACATGCAGACAGACAAAATGACACAAAGGAGAGGAGAGCGAGTGAGAGAGTGAGGAAGCGAGGAGGATGAAACTTGTCTGACTGTAAATCAGTACTTCATGAACTTCAAGATGTTTCTATTCTCGTCTGAGGAGGGGTGACGCATCACATCCTCATTTTGCTGTATTCCATGCCATGACAACAGTTCTTTAGATATTGACTTCTCCACTGACAAACAAGAACCAAAAAATATTAAAACATATATATTACAAAAATACGTTTATAAATACACCGTTAAAATTTTGGGTTTGGTAAGCTTTCTTAATGCTTTAAGAAAGAATGTAGTATTTTATGTTTACCAAGGCTGCATTTATTTAATAAAAAATAAAAACAGTATTATTGTGAAATATTATTACAATTTAAAATAATTGTTTTCTATTTTAATATATATCTTAAACTGTAATTTATTACTGTGATGCAAAGCTGAATTTTCAGCAGCCATTCAGTGTCACATGATCTTTCAGAAGTCATTCTAATATGCTGTTTTGCTGCTCTAGAAATGCTGAAAACATTTTTTGCTTCTTCTTAATATTTTTTTGTTTGATCTATTCTATATATATATATA